CACAACCCCTCATCCTTGGATGCAAGACGACCCCACCATTTTCCCATGAGAGCTAAATTAAAACTCCTCATGTCCTTCACCCCTAAGCCGCCCCACTCTTTCTTTTTACAGACCCTCTCCCAACTCACCCAATTTATTTTCCTACCCTCCCCTTCTCCCCCCCATAAAAAGTTCCTGCGAATTTTATCAATGGATTTGAGAATACCTGTGGGGATTTTGTATATCGACATCAGGAAAACGGGCAGACTAGACAGTACAGAATTTATGAGCATGATCCGGCCTCCGATAGAGAGATGTTTTCCTTTCCAGCTAGAAAGCTTCTTTCTAAAAGATGTTAGCAGAGGCTGCCACATTGCTAACCTTCTATGATTCCCCCCAACCGGGACTCCCAAGTATTTGAATGGAAGTTTTCCTTCTTTGCAGTATAAAATGCAAGCCATTCTGACTTTCCAATCAGTATCGACCTCCACGCCCATTAGTTGACTCTTTCCGAAGTTGATTTTCAATCCTGACGCCATTTCAAAGATTCTCATGATGCTTTTAATCACCCTTATGTTGTCTTCGGTTGCCTCTCCGAAGAAGATAGTATCGTCTGCAAATTGTAGGTGGGTCACCATTGTTGCTCCATTGCCAATCATCACTCCCTTGTACAACTCCTTCTCAACCGCAGTAGACATTAGGCCATTAAGACCTTCCGCCACAATTAGGAACAAGAAAGGGGATAGCGGGTCACCTTGTCTTATTCCTTTGCCTACGGGAAATTGTCTTGTCGGGCTTCCGTTGATAAGGACTGAGAGCATACTTGATCATAAGCATTCTTGGATCCATCCCCTCCACATGACATTAAAACCCATTCTGGACAGCATGTAATCAATGAAATCCCAACACACCTTGTCAAAAGCTTTTTCGAAATCGACTTTGAATAAAAAGCTTTTCATCTTTTTCTTTTTCGCCTCATCTATTACCTCATTAGCTATGACAACTCCATCCATCAATTGCCTCCCTTCAATGAAGGCCATTTGCTGTTCCCCAATCACCCTGCCCAGCACTTTTCGAAGACGGTTTGCTAACAATTTTGCTACAATCTTGTACATGACTCCGATTAGAGAAATGGGTCTGAACTCTTCAATTCTTTGAGGGTTCTCTACTTTTGGGATCAGCACAATGAATGAGGAGTTTGAACCTTTAACCAGTCTTCCCTGCCCGTGGAATTCCTGGATAAACCCAACTACATCTGTTTTTAAATCCTCCCACATGGTCTTAATGAACTTAAAGTTGAAACCATCCGGACCAGGTGATTTTGAGGAGTCACAATCCCACACTGCTCTCCTAATTTCCTCTTCGTTGAACGGAGCTGTTAGAAGGGTATTGTCTTCCTCGGAGATTTTTTTGAAGTTAATGCCGTCAAGTTTTGGTCTTTGCCATTTTTCTTCTGCAAACAACTCTTCAAAATACTGAGCAACCTGTTCTCTTATTTCAGTCACTCCAACACACCTTTTGCCCTTAATCTGGACACTATTAATTTCATTTTTTTTCCATCTAATCTTCACACATCTATGGAAAAATTTGGTGTTGGCGTCTCCTTCTTTAAGCCACATCTTCCTTGATTTTTGTTGCCACATGCTCTCTTTAATTTTGAGATTATCCCAAAGTTGAAGAAAGCAGTGTCTTCTTCTATTCACCTCCTCGACGACAGATGGGAAATCTCACCTTTGCTATCCAGGGCAGCTATCTCCAGCTCGGCTTCCTCTATTTTTTTATCTACTTCTGACATAGAGTTACCACTCCACTCCTTTAGAGCTTTCTTTGTTATCTTCAGTTTCTCTTTAAGCCTATATCCCTTCCATCCCTTAATCTCAGCAGTATTCCAAACCTTTCGAATCATCTCCACACACCCTGGCTGATCCAGCCAAGCATCGAAGAACTTAAATGGTTTGGGCCCCCAATCAATCTTCTCTTCCTTAATTAATATGGGGCAGTGGTCAGACACTGTTCTCTTTAATCCCCATTGCCTTAAGTCACCCCAATTCATAAGCCATTCCTCCGAGAATAAAAATCTGTCAATCCTGCTCATATGTAATCCATTGGAGTTGAACCAGGTATATTTCCTCCCTGTCAATGGCAGATCCACTAATCCAGCATCATGGATGAACCTGTCGAATTCCTCCATTTCTTTGGATACCCCATTACTTCCTGCTCTCTCCTCCACACTTCTAACCGCATTAAAATCTCCCCCCACACACCAATTCCCTTTCCTGCTATTAATCAGATTCAATAAATCCTCCCACAGTGCCCTTTTACCCGCCAGAGAACAAGATGAGTAAACATTGACTATATTCACGGGAGTTTTATCCTCTCCCCAAAATCCAAACACCCCTATATAGTTATCTCCCTCCAACACCTCTTTTTTTTCAAACAAATGTGAACTCCAAATACAGAGAAGACCTCCAGACATGCCTTTTGACGGTTTGTAAATCCATTCGAACTCCTCTGTACCCCATATTCTTCTGCATAAACTCCTATCAATAAACTGTTTTTTTATTTCTTGAATAGATAAAAAATCCACCCGTTCTTTTCTAATGGTCTCCCTGATTTGTCTTTTTTTTCCAACCCCACCAAGCCCCCTAATATTAAAAGAGAGCAAAATCATTAACAGAATTTCTAACCTTCTCAGCGTCACCCGCATCTTGGATCACCGAGCTTGCCTTTGATTGCTTATCTCTGCTCTCCATATCTTCTATCCGCCTCATGACCTCTTCCTCATTCTCAGCCGTGACCCCTAATTGCTTTGCCAACTCCCAGATCTCCTTTGCGAGTTGATTTCTCATTTGTTTCTGCAATAATTTGTTGCAATTCTGAATCCCACTATCCCCAATTGAGTCATCTGCAATTTCGTCATTTGGGCTTGCAATAAACACTGGTTCTGATCTCCCTTCCGTTTGCATCTTGCTGGTATTTCCTCTTCCTCCCATCTTCTGTCTTCTTCTACCAGGGACTGTTGAATTTCGGTACACCGTGCTACACAAACAGATTTTCTTCTTTCTCTTCTTTGGTTTTGTCTCCGATCCGTCTTTCATCCATTTCTGCAGCCTAGGCTCGTCAATCTCATGCCCTTTCCAGAATAGATCTATTTCTTCACCATCGCTGCTTCCAGACTTCAGTTGACTAGTTCTAGAGATAATATTGCTTTTTCCATGTTTTGGGTTACTAGCTGGAGCTTGAGCTATAATGTTCGGCTGGCCCGTGTTTGAAGACATCTCATACTCTGGGCTTTCACCAACCATGATGGGCTTCTTCTGTTGCTTTGGAATGACCTGCTCGCACTGGCCCAATTGAGTTTCTAATACTTCATCAGCCACACCTACCTCTGCATCTTTCCCAAGCATTTGCATCAGCATCTCTGGCCCTAAACTTGCCTCATCTTCATTCAAATTTTGAATTTGGACACTGCTATCAATCCCCTCTTGTGCCGTCATTTCATTCTGCTGTTCATCTATTTTCCTAATTTGACCGTTGAGCCTCGCCACGTCATTTTCTTTAGGTGCTGTTTCACCGTCTTCTTCGTTTGGCTGTTCTTCCTCTGCTAAAGCCTCCTGGATTTCTTCTTCCTCTTCACTGCCAACAGACCATGACTCGGGCTCTTCAGAATCACTCTGGAAGTTCGGCATAAAGTCTTCTTTCAAGGAGAAAAAATTATTTGTGAACTCTTCCTCAGAGAATTTGATGTTGAACAGAGAGCCATTAACTTTCACTTGTCTTGTAATTGATATGGAATTCATGCTCGGAGTCGAGATCAAGAATCTCGCAATATCAAACCTTCTTTTTTTGCTTGTGCTGTCGTCCAAGCAAATAAATTTCCCCCAAGGCCAGCTCATTTTTTCAAAAAAATCTGATTTCCATGCGTTGAGAGGAACCCCTTGGCATCTAATCCATGCGAATCTCTCTGTAGCGACCATGTCTGGAGTCCACGGTTTAACATTTTCGAACCATTGAGCAAGCCACTCCGGAGCCAACTCCACCAAGTCCTTCAACTCTTCTTTATCATCGCTGTCAAGTAACACCATTTTGCCTCCCATTGCTCTGAGGCGGCACCAAAAATATCCTTCCATGTAAAATTTTTCCTGTAAGTTCCGGACCATTTCGATAGAGTGAGCGATCCCCACATAGCAACCTTCAAGCCATTTTTCATCTTTTGGGTTGGTGTTGAATTCTATTCCGGACCAATTTTCTCCCACTCCTTTTTCTTTCCAAATTTTCCTGTTACCGTTGGTGCCATCCAGATGAGATCCTCTGTTACTATTCTTCTCGGGCCAACTATGGTTGTTCTGCGGCAGTGGTCTTGTCTTCTCTTCTTTCTTCTCTTCTAGTTGACCCTTTACTACTTCCGCATAGCTTCTGTTCTGCGATCTTAGGTGTGCTCCTTGGTTGACTCTGAAATCCCCTCCCTGTTTCTG